ATGTGTTTAAAAGAATCAACAGTAAAGCTTTCAGAAGGTAATGGAGAAAATAAATTTTATGACCTTGGAATATGAAAAAATAATGTAAATAGGAACAAATAACACAAAACATTACAAGTATGCAAATTACTCATTTAACTTAAGAATTTTTCTATGTTTAAATGTTTTTGAAAGAACAAAATGTTCAGCCACAGATATATATATATATATATATATATATATATATACATATATATTTGAAATTCTAACAGAAATTAATGTCCAAGGACTTATTATTTAGAGTGCATAGTGATACCTAATTAGATAAGGTATCAGTGATACTGGAAAGGTGAATTGAAATATTTGTACATTACGGCAAAGCCAGGCAAACTACCCGTGTCGTATTCGATATGCCAAACACAGTAACAATAAGTCTCACAATGGAGACGTTACTGGGCCTGCTCTAGCAAATTGAAGAACAATGGGAGGACAATGCTACAGTGCTACTACTAAATCATCCCTCTAACCAGATGACTAAAATGTAAATTTTTTTAGGTTGAAAAAAGAAAAGTTGTGGAGTAAGAGGAAAAAAAAGGTTATTGCCATAGGTTTAAATTGCTTTGGAATTCTGTTTGGTTCTTTCTACTAAAGTGTTTTGTAGTGCCAGAGCCATAGTATTGCATGTTGGGCAGTTGCCTTGCACAGAGCTAACTGGGTTCCATCCTTAGCACCATATAAAGGTAAAGGCCCTCCCATTGATCATCGATTTGCTCGAGCGGGCCCAGTAACGTCTCCATTGGAGACTTTGTTGTTACTGTGTTTGGCATATCGAATATGTCATGGGAAGCTTGCCAGGCTCTGCTGTGCGGGCGAGATACTCTCGGTAGCTTGCCGGGCTCTCCGAGAGGGGCGGAGGAATCAAACTCGGGTCGGCCATGTTGGCTGCGTGCAAAGCAAACGCCCTACCGCTGTGCTATCGCTCCAGCCCATATATGGTCCCTGAACCCCTGGCAGAAGTAACCCTGAGGGCAGAGCCACTAATAATCTCTGAGCACCTCTGGGTGTGACCCAAATAACAAAAATAAGTAAATAAAATGAGTACTTTATGAGAATCAGTGATATTTTTTCTAAGTATATAACTAATAGAACGTATGAGAAAGTGACCTGCAAGGTATACACATGAGTACTGAGTATAGAGTTATTTATAATAACCAACTGGAAACAATTCAAACGTTCATCATCTTGTATGATGAATATATCAACAAAAAACATATATTTTTGTTGTATTCATGTAATAGATTATTATAGCACTGCACCACAATTATGTAAGGATAAGGGATAGATTTTATACCTTCAGTATTAAACAAGGTACAAATCAAAGTCTATTTTATTATTGCATTTATATAAGATTTGAAAATAGAAATAAAATATTGCATTATTTTATTATGAAGTGAAACTACAAACAAAAGGATTGTAATTACCTGGGGTAGGGATTTTGGAGGACATTATAATTGAGAGAATATAAGGAAAACTTTAGAAAAAGTTGATGTGGTTTCTCTCTCTCTCTCTCTCTTCTCTCTCTCTCTCTCCCTTCCTTTCTCTTTCCATTCCTTCTTACTCTTTCTTTCTTTTCCTTTCTCTTTCTCTCTGTCTCTTTCTTTCTTTCTTTTCTTTGTATTTTGGATCACACCCGGCAATGCTCAGAGGCTATTCCTGACTGTGCACTCAGGAATTACTTTTGACTGTGCTCAGGGAACTTTATGGGATGCCAAGGATAGAACCCAGGTCAGCATGATACTCTCCAGCTCCATCCATTAATAGGCAAAATTCCATGACCTCATTTTCCTTAATAGTTATGTATTCCCTTGTGTAGATATGCCATAGTTTTTTAATCCATTTATCTATTCTCAAGCACCCAGGTCATTTCCAAATTTTCCCTGTTATGAATAGTGCTGCAATGAACATTGAAGTACGGATGGTGTTTCTGCACTGTATTTTGTAGCCTCCAGGGTATATTCCCAGAAATGGCATTGCTGTATTAAATGGGAGCTCAATTTTTAATTTTTTGAGGTATGTCCATATTGTTTTCCCAAAAAGGTTGGACCAATCAACATTGAAGCATTCCCATCAACAATGAAGAATAGTCCCTTTCTCCCCACATCCGCACCAGCACTGGTTGTTCTTGTTCCCTTGGATGTGTGCTAGTCTCTGTGGAGTAAGGTGATATCTTACTGTTGTTTTGATTTGCATCTCCCTGATGATTAATGATGTAGAGCACTTTTATATGCCTTTTGGTCATTCATATCTCTTCTTTTTTTTATTTTGCTTTTTTGGGTCACACTCGGCGATGCACAGGGGTTACTCCTGGCTTCCCCCCAGGAATCACTCCTGGTGGTGCTCAGGGGACCATAAGGGATGCTGGGATTCGAACCTGGGTTGGCCGCATTAAAGGCAAATGCCTTACCCGCTGTGCTATTGATCCAGCCCCTCAAATCTCTTCTTTGAGAAAGTTTCCGTTCATTTTTTTGCCTCATTTTTTGATTGGCTTGGATGTTTTTTCCTAATAGAGGTTAGCCTTTTAGATCTCTGATATTAATCACTTATCAGAAGAGTATTGGATAAATAACCTTTCCCATTCTGTTGACTTGGCCCCTCTTTTTTTGAGGTGCAGAAGCTTCTTAGTTTAGTGTAGTCCCATTTGTTTGCTTTCACTTTTTTGGTCAGTGACATTTCATATTTGAAGATACCTTTAGATTCAATATCATGAAAGGTTTTGCCTACATTTTCTTCTGTGTACCTTATGGATTCAGGTCTAATGTAGAGGTCTTTAATCCATTTTAATCTGACTTTTTATGCATGGTAGAGGTCTGGCCCATTTTTTTGCATGTAGCTTTACAGTTTTGCCAGCACTTCTTGTGAAAGAGATTTTCCTTGCTCCACTTAACATTTCTTGCTCCCTTATCAAAGATTAAATCATCAGATATTTGAGGGTGTGTGTCTGGATATTCAACCCTATTCCATTGGTCTGCGGGTCTGTCTTTATTCCAATATGATGCGGTTTTAATTACTACGTCTTTTTTTTTTCTGTTTAGGTCACAACCCTCAGTGCACAGGGTTACTCCTGGCTCATGCACTCAGTAATTACTCCTGGTGGAGCTTGGGGGATCATATAGGATGTTGGGAATCGAACCCTGGTCAGCCTCATGCAAGGCAAATGCCCTACCTATTGTGCTATTGCTACAGCCCCCATTTTATTTAATTGAATTACATTTGTTTTGAATTCTGTTTATCCTTAGAAAGAAAATGTTTCCGAAACTAATAAGTTCAGTTAAATAATTAAAAGACATGAAACAGTTCTATGGTAATTAATATGTTGCATGCATTTTACTGACCTCTGACTTTTATAAACCGTAATAATATCAACCTTAAATAATTACGAGAATCTCAAATAAACCAGCTTTATAATGCACTTGGCACAATGTCTAGACATAATAAGTCATGAGTTAGTGTTGGCTCTTACTGTTGATACTATTATTACTCAACCACAAGGCCCTGATGACTGCTCTAGAGTTAGGCACTTTGTGGTTTCTAATAAAATAATATTGAAAATTGCAAAGCTGTTCTGTTCTTGGAAAAAGAACAAAGACTTCTTATTTTCAAACCTGGAGGATATCATATTCTGAAATCTTATATTTAAACCCATGTTTCTAACAATCAGTTTCTGAAGCAACTCTCTCTCTCTCTCTCTCTCTCTCTCTCTCTCTCTCTCTCTCTCTCTCTCTCTCTCTCTTTCTCTCTCCCTGTGTCCCTGTTTCTGTATGTGCAGGATGACAGTCATTCATATCTTTCCTGTCACTTCACCAGGGTTGTAATTTGACCCTAACCCCTTGGACTCTAATTCACTCTAGTCATTATTTTTTCCAAGTTTGAGCTGAACATATGTACCAGACAGGGTCCTCCAAAAATTGGTCTGAGATCCCTTTGTCATTAAACCTCCAAATACTAGGAAAAATTTATGAATCACCCGAATGTCAATATTAGAAACATTAATAGTGAAAGTTGAGGCAGATGGCTAAATAATTTGAAAGAAAATGTGGAGAAAGAAAGAACAAGGTATATAACTTTTGAAGAGCTTGCACCTAAAGTCATACAAAATTGGAATTAATTCCTGGGTCTCTGTCACATTGGACAGCATATATGTAAACAACTCCCTTGGCTCCCAAAAAGACAATCAGGAGAAGCTATTGATTAATAAACTTAATTTTATTGCAATTCTATTAAGTAATACCATATGGTCTTAGAAGTGTTTCAGAAGAGTGAAATCAAAGGAAGTTTTTCAAAGTATTCTGAGGATTTAGATAGCTGATTTTAAATAAAATATTGCAAAACTTGATTTTTTTTGAAATGGTGGCAGTCTCTGAAAATAGCTTGAGTACAGGGTATCACAAAGTGAGGGATATGAAGAAGTCTGATGAGCAAGTAATTAGACTTGGTAAGTAAGCTATTTTACTTTAAATACTGTCTTAAACCTTGGGAGCAAGCACTTTTTGGTGTAAGCAACTCAGCAATTATTGTTTGATCTTAGTGTTTGTTTACATTAGGGAAATAACATTTGTTTTGAGCAACATTATTTGGGTTGAAACTTGGTGATTTTAGTTCATGGTTATTTATGTTCTTTAAGCCCCAATATCCTTACCTCTTAAAATATGAATTGTGGGTTTTAAGTAGATAGAATATAAAAATCACTCATGTTTGAACTGGATGTTTTCATAAATATTTAAAATATGTTTGATATTATTTTATAGCAACTTACTGAAAAAATACTTTTTGATACCAACACCAAAATGCCTAATTTGAAATTTAGTACGTGCAAATGTCTCTGTCTTCTATAATAGAATGTATATTTTATCTAATCATCATTACATATTATACTGAGGGAAATACATATATACATGTATTTTAATATTGGATAACATGCCTTAAACCTGACTATGTCTTAAACTCATACTGTTTATTTGCAGAATGACATGAATTACATTGCATCCAGTGGACTTCTATTCAAAGATGGAAAAAAAAGGATTGACTACATACTGGTTTATAGGAAGTCAAATATACAATATGACAAACGAAACACATTTGAAAAGAACCTCAGAGCAGAAGGCTTGATGTTGGAAAAGGAGGTAAGAGCTTTAATTTTATTGGTTCTGTTATGTAATATGCTGAAAGAGAAATAATAGCTTATGTTTTAGTATGGAAAGTATGAAACATGCCTTTATAAAATATAGTTATTTTCTACCAAATGTAAGTGGAATGCATATGTAGAGTCAAATTTAAATATATACTCCTTTTTCCACCTTGTATATTTACATAAATTTAAATATTTTTCAAAGGGCATACTATTTTTGAAATCTTAAACACTAAAGAATGAATGATTATACCTATGTAAAGTATAAAGCTATTTGAAAAGAAAATCAGATTGTTGAAAAAAAAGTGCCAAACTGTTAGTGTGTAGATTATAATTCAGGATCTATGAATGACTTTCTTAGTAATTATTTTTGCCCTATTTTTCTTTTTTTTCTGAATTTCTTTATTTTTTGATTGAATCACCATGAGATGCGTAGTGACAAAGTTATCCATGATTAGGTTTCAGTCATACATACGCCTGTTCTTTCACCAGTGTACATTTCCCACCACCAATGTCCTCAGTTACCCTCCCACAACCCACCCCTCCCCAACCTTCCTCTATGGCAGGACTTTTCTGCTCTCTCTCTCTCTCTCTCTCTCTCTCTCTCACTGTGTCTGTCTCTCTTTCTCTCTTTCTTTCTTTCTTTCTTTCTTTCTTTCTTTCTTTCTTTCTTTCTTTCTTTCTGCTTTTAGGCATTATGGATTACAATACAGATACTGAAAGGTTATCATGCATATCCCTTTAACCTACTTTCAGAACTCAGTTCTTGTCCAGAGTGATTCAACTACCATTGTCATAGTGGTTCTTTCTCTATCTTGACTGCCCTCTGCCCCCCACATTCTATGGCACGTTTCCAGCCATGGGCATGTTTTTATTTTTAAGACTAGTTTTAAATCACTTTAAGGTTCACATATAATTTGAGAGGGAAATACATGTTTCCCATATATGACTTTAGACCATATATATAGAGTCTCTTCCATTACCAAAAACCTCACCAGAGTAATGCATTTGTTGTATTTGAAGAAGTATCAGTGCCCATACAATTTGCATTATTTTTACTGGATGTAAATATATATTTGTAAATATATATATAATAAATTATATTCATCAAAATAGTATCATATAGTGTCACTACACAAAAAAACCCATGAATATATCACTCTATTTCTCTACTTTGTTTCATATAAGTTTTTATAGTTTTTCTCATTTAAATCTTATACCATTTTGCTAAATTTATATGCAGGTATTTAGTTTTATTTGTACTAATGTAAAAAGTACTCTATTTAAAATCTCTAAAACCAACTGTCCACTGCCTGAATACAGAAAAGCAATTGACTTTTATATATAAGATTTTATGCTGCAACTTTTTATAATACTAATTTTTTCCCAGAAGGGTGTGTTTTTGTTTTACTTATTTAAATTTATACATAATTATCTACATAATTATCATATCTGAATAGAGGGATCAATCTATACATCTTTTATTTCCTTTCTGTGTCATACCTTATTAGCTAGAAATTTTACTTTAATTCTGTAAAGTAGTAACTAGAGAGGATATTTTTTCCTTTTTCCTGATGTTAGTTAGAAAACTTACTTTTATAGCAAGTGATTACAGCGATGTATTTTTTTAAGATCAATATTTTTTTTTGCCAAGTTGAGGAAATTCCTTTCTCTTTCTATTTAGTTCAGACTCTTTATCTTAAATAAGTGTTGAATTTTGCTAAGTGCTTTTTGTATCTATGAATAGGATCACATACCTTTTTTTTTTCCCTTCTACAAATGTCAGTGTAAGGTATTGCATTAATTGATTTTCAAATGTTAAATTGGCCTGCGATAAATTTCAGGTCATCATGTTATTCTTTGTCTACATTGCTACATTCAATATACTAAAATATTTTTTGAAGAGTATTGTTTTGTCTTCTGGGAATGCTTCCTATGGTTTTGTTATAAGGTAATGGTGACCGCAGAGAGTAAATAAGATGATTTCTCCTTGGGACATGGAAGATGGCTCAGTAACTTGAACAACACCTAGGGAAATCTAAGATTTCTTCTATTTTTATTCTCTGAAACAGATTGAAAATAATGGGTATAATAATTTTTGCCTAAGTATTTGATAGAAATAATTATTGTATGAATTTACTACTAGCAATTTTTGTTTTAGAATGTAAATCTTATCAATGCAATAAATTTTAGTAGTAGTTAGACACTCAGTTTATTCATTTAATTTTTTGTGATATTTGATAGAATGCTTTTAAGTAATAGATCTCTTTAATTTAAATTGTATTTGTGGGCGAAGTATTTTTCACAGCAATATTCTTACATTGCAATATTCTTACGTTGCCTGAATTAACATATGGATTTACTGAACTTTTTAATCATCTTTTGATTTCATTGATTTTTTCTGTTAATTTCTTGATTGATTTCAATTTAGTTGATTTATGCTATAATTGTTCTTCTGTTTGCTTTGAATTTTCCTTGCTCTTATTTTATTTATTAATTTTTTAGTCCCTAAGGTAAGAATGCACACGCACAAACATGTCAGTTTTTCATAGACATATCTTTACCATAGTTCTTCCTTATTAGTATATTCACTCAGTGCTCCAAATTACCTCCCAGCACAGGTTTCACTTTGCTAGAAGTTTGTATAGTAACATTCTGATACATGTATTTTGATTTTCCTTTAGATCATGTTTTCTCTCTTGAAATTTTTCTTCCCACATATCATATTTGAAGTGAATCTTTTATTTATTTTATTTATTGATTTTTGTGTATACCTAGTAGTGCTCACTCTTGGCAGGGATCGATCAACTGCTTGCAAGGCGAGCTTCCTACCCACTGTCTTATCACTCCAGCTCCTGGAGTGAATGTTTTAATTGTTTACAGTTTTCTAATTATCTTTCAGTTAACATCTACTTTAATTTTGTTGTGATTTAAGGAAAAAATGACACATTTTTTTAAAAATAATGTTGTACTTTTTCCACTTGTCTAACATACTTTACTAAGATGACACAACTGGCATTGAAAACCAAATATATTCTGATTCAGGGGATTTTTAATCTCTGCTGTTGTATGTTACCTATTATCCTCTCTTTTATTCTCAACTTTATTTAAACACTATGGTTTACAAAATTGTTCATGATGATTTGTTAGTCATTCAGTATTCCAACACCAATCTCATCAACACTCTCACTTTCTCTCCACTATTGTCTCCATTTTCCCAGTCACCCCTCATGCCAGCCCCCATGGTAGACCTAAAGTAGTTTCTTTTACATTGCTTGTTTCCACTAAATGGCTAGTGGAATGATAAAAAATATTTTCATAAAAGAAATTTTTTTTTAAATTGTTGTATCTCATTATGGAGACATTAAGTCCTTGTTGGAGAGTTTACTTATCAGTTGTTGCAAGTCATGCCTTCTGTTATAACTCTCATTAGTGAGAATTTCCTTTATTATTTACAACTGTAAATTTTTTAAATTTATTTTTCATCTTTTTAATGTCGACAAAAGCTACAACCATTGATACAATTCTAGAGTTGAAGTTGATTCAATAACAAAGCTTTAATATTAAAATCAATAATTTCAAAAATCCGTTTTTATGTGCAAATAATTAAATCACATCACAGGGTTAAGTCCTTTTCTAAGGATTTAGTAAGCTATTTTGCTAGTTAAGGCTCAGGGTTACTGTTTTTGCTTGTTAAGTTTCATTGGCATCTGTATTACTTACTCATTTAATTTGGTGTGCTCTTACTGGAATTTCAATACTGAGGAATTTGGAGGTGTTGAAACTTTTAGGTCTATGGTCTGGACAAATGAGTTGACAAGGAAGCAATTGTGGGAGTTGGATGTGGCTGCCAGGACTTCTGAAGAATGGGTGGGGTTGGGGTAGTCTGTCCAACCTTACTCCAAGAAAACCCAGACTTCTCAGCCTGTTCGCTGGAGTAACAGAATTTTAACTGAATTTTTTTTTTTTTTTGCTGTTTATAATCTAAGTTTAAGTGGTGCTACAATGTCTTATCAATTATCAGGCCAGATAGCTAGTACAATGGGAAGGGTGCTCGCATTACACACAGCCTACCCACTTTGAATCCCCAGCACTCAGTAAAGTTCCTGAGTACCACCAGGAGTGATCGCTGCATGCAGAGCCAGGAATAAACCCTGAGCATCCCTGAATGTGGTTCATAAGAACAAAGGAAAACAAAGAAAACTTACCGAATAATCTAGGTTTGAGAATAAATATTAGTAAGTATAGTGGGCTGGAGCAATAGCACAGTGGTAGGGCGTTTGCCTTTCACACGGTCGGCCTGGCCAAGCCGGGTTCGATTCCTCCACCCCTCTCAGAGAACCAGACAAGCTACCGAGAGTATCTCGCCTGCACAGAAAAGCCTGGCAAGCTACCCCTGATGATATTCGACATGGCAAACACAGTAACAAGTCTCACAATGGAGATTTACTGGGCCCACTTGAGAAAAATTGATGAACAACAGGAGGATAGTGGACAGTGCAGTGTGAGGATAAGGAAACACTAGAGAAAAGGAAATTAAATTAACTTTTAATGAATATTTTAAATTTTGGATTGTAACAGTACTGGAGTGATAGCACAGTGGTAGGGCATTTGCCTTGCACTTGGCCGGCTGGCCAGCTGGCCGGCCGAGCCGGGTTCAATTCCTCCGCAATTCCTCTACCCCTCTCAGAAAGCCTGGCAAGCTACCGAGAGTATATCGCCCACGTGGCAAAGCCTGGCAAGCTACCTGTGAAGTATTCGATGCGCCAAACACAATAACAACGATTCTCACAATGGAGATGTTACTGGGCCCGTTGAGCAAATTGATGAACAATGGGAGGACTGGATAGTAACTAAAATGGATAAAGGACTAATTGTGACTTTCAGTGCCGGCCTATCAGTAAACTCACACGAGATTCTTGTAATAGTATAAAAAATTAGTCCCACAGAAAATGAAGACAAATGTCATTAAAAATACTTTTAAAATCTTTAGGA